GATCTAAAACCAGTAATTAAAGACAGATGGTGATGAGTCCACTGTAACTATCGATTGGTTGTTTACTGTTCCTTCCTACAGCCCCAGAGGCACCTCGGTATCTCTATGGGTGAGGGATTAGGTTTCCCATTGTCACCAGAACCAACACACAATGCACACACTGATAAAGTCAAGATACCACCTTGGCTGAAATGCTTGGCCACACTGCGGTGACTTACCCCTTACAGCCACAATTTCAGTGTGCAACAAAGCTCACAGTTGGTGGCACAAACACCTTCTGAGGCTGAACTCTACATAGAGCTGAGCTACTGCTGTTTCACGGGCTAACATCCTATGCCTGTTTTCAACCACAGCCCCCTTCCTCCTCTATATAAGCCGTCTCTATAGGATTCAGTGAATCCTATAGAGACGGCTTAACTGGGAGTGAAGTGTTAAACCTCAATTTTGCAAGCTGTATTCAGGGTATCTGCAGCTCTCTTTATATCTGAAGAAGCAATTTTCTTTTAAAAGCAAGTTTCTTTTTAAACAGCATGTACAATGGCCCTTAATGCACTGAGGCGTATTCAGATGCACCAAAACAAATAAAGAAAGCATCTTCACTAATATGACAAGCACGTATGCAGTATTTACTTGCTAAAAGTGGTTGGCTTGGTATTGAAAACTAAACCAGCATTATGTGCGGAATGTACATTGCAGATAATGCTAATAGCCTCCCACTATTTTATTATTTGGTCCTGCTTTTGGTTCTTTCTGCACATAAATATTACAAAATAAAATGCAAATATAGTATTAAATATTATTTTTTCCCTAATTGTTCTAAAACAATTAGATTAAGCTGTTTAATCTTTGCTGGAAACAAAGCCCCAGAGGCCTCACTCACATATGGCTAGATGCTGGTTAGTGACACCCTAGAAACCAAATTTCACTAGAGAAATAAAATTTGTTCCTGATTGGTTGGCGAGTGGTTGCAGGAGATTCCTCGCTGTCGCTGGGTGAAATTAGTTGCACGGGGGGTGCTGGACCAGCAGATTGTGATGCATAGAAGATGCCTACATGTATGCAAACAGTCACTAACTAACCACTGAGTTATAGTGAAACTTGAAAAAGTGTGTCGCAAACCAGATTCGGAGAACTTCAAAGTAAACGTTTTGTCTTATTGTTGAAACCAACATGTTTCAAAAGGATCATTCTTTACTTTAAGGACAAATACGCTCTCTTTCTGGTTAGTGTTTATTTCACTAACACTTAGCAAGTAGTTGGCGACCATTTGCAGATAAATTGACATCTTACGCACTGACCTTGGTGCAACTTAAAACTGTGAGGAAATGAATAGTGGTTGACTCTGTTTGTGACCTCTCTTGCAAAGAATTGCAACCAGTTTCATCAACCAAGCAGCCTCAAGATGAACCAGTGGTGGTGTCCAGGGCTTGTTAGGTACTTGTACAGTAGAAGACCCCCATACCTTGAAATTACAACTCGACACTGGTGAACTGCAGTATGATTACATAGAAAACAAACCGGTAGTATGCATTAGTTCCAGGGTTCCCAAAGTGCCCCAAAGACCAAGAGCAGTCCTTGAGATTTCATTCATGGAGAGCTCTTATATTTAGCAGCGCAGAATTAGGGGTAAATGTAACAATCACTTTTCTAGTGGTCAAAGTGGAATAAAGTAGCACAACAGTAACAATTACCAATGTAACTATCACCCCCCTAAATGGAAGTATAGGTAACATAAATATAAAAAACGTCTTTGCATTTCTACTGCATCACATCTCCAGCTTTAGTTCTTAAAATGCTCCAGACTAGTTTCCTGATGTGTTGGGAGGGAAGGAGTTAAGTATGGTTGCTATGTGGTGTACAGAGCTGTATTATGCAAGCTGTGAAGAGCAGACAGAGAGAGTGAGGAAGTGCATTACAGAATGCTGAGCTCAGGGCTTTGGCTCACCGCCAAGCAACTCCTGCATGTGCTCACTGACACACTCAGCTGAGGGCATACCGATTTTTCCAGCAGCACAGTGGTGGCCTCCTCCCTCCTCTCGAGTCACTCTCTTTCTGTTACGTCAGTGGTTCAGCTGTAGGCCAGGCATGACTGGGGCAGGGCGGCGTAACGGAGAGCACCACACATTTCATCTCGTGTGTGTGTGTGTGTGTATGTGTGTGTCTGTATAAAAAAAAAGACAGGATGTGGACTGGTGGTTGTGTGGTTGACTGAGTGTCTGCTCAACTGGAAAAGCAGAAAGAACTGAAACACCTTAGTTTTTTTTCTCTTTTCTATTTCTATACAAGTTTCACTCTCAGATATTGTCTTGTAGTCCTTCCGCCTCTTTTGTTTTTTTCTCACAAAGCACCATCACGTCTGCAGACAAACACCTACTCTTCTTCGCTTCTTTTACCAAGCAAGGGAACATCCGATTTTGATGTTGCAACTGCAGAAGTTGCATTCAGCACTAACATTAATAGCTATAAATATGTGACCACGTGCGTCATAGCGATATTGCTGCAAATACTCATAGCTGTGACACAGATTTAGTGCTGTCCATAAAAACACTTGCGCCTCTCTTGATCTCTCTTCTTTTTAGTTTGATCTCTGGTTTCAAAGAAGTTGAGCCACAGATTTTACATTTATAATGTTATTCGATATAGGAAGGCTTTGAAAACATTTTTGCGTTTATTTAACAGTAAACAAATTTGTACTATGAGATTTGGTGAGAAAAAGTGAACTTGCAGGAAGTAGAACACTCGTGCTCACTTACTGTACTCGGGTTTTGTTGGTGTGCCATTACTTGGCCTGCAAAGACCAGGAGCTGATAGCTAAAGTTAGCTAGCATCTGGTCTTGCTCTTTTTCAACTCATGCAGCCTTTGCACAAGCTAAATGATTGCTGACTGTACAGAAAGTGTATTGTATCTCTTTAATATGCTTAAAGCAGACTTATAATGCTAGTTTCCAGTTCACTATTTTTATTCTTGGAATAATCTTGATCTCCTCCCTCGTGTATCCCATTAGTTCATCCTCTGTCTGAAAAAAAAGAAGCTGTTTTAGCTCCATTCCCTCTATCTTAAAGCCAACTTTGTTCTGACTGACTGCTTTTGACAAACAGAAAGTTCATACGTGGGGCTTCAGTCCTCACAGCCAGAGATATATGCCTGAGATGACCGGATATCATACAGATACAGTTAGAATAAGGAATATAAGTGTGTGTGTGTGTGTGTGCGTGTTAGTCTTGGTTGAATATCTTAACATCACTTTCTAAAGACATCTCATTTCTAAAGAGATATGATTTAAATCTCTTTCTGTCTGCTTTCAAATGATTACTTAAACATAGACAGCATCTGACAGAAGGTTGGCTCTTTAATGCATTTCCCATTTCCTTTGGCTCAAGCGACCATCTAATAATGCTGTCTGTCATCTGTCACTGTCTGGCATGGAGGCTTATCAGCCTCCCTGTTGGCCACGTTACATGATTTTCAGTTTGAATGACAACATGATGCAAGATGTACATCATGCCCCTGCGATTCGAGGTCTAAATAAGCCACTGTTCTGCCTGTGTATCGTAAAATGAGCTGTGCATGTGCTCCCTGTAGTAAGATTAAAACAGTACAGACTAAATGAAATTGTTTATATCAGTTTAGCTCTGGCTGAGTTTATGAAACCATCTGTCATCAACTGATAACCCACTAACTCGGTCAGATTGCCCATTTATTCTAATTACAGAAGAATTTTCTCCATAAAGTACTTGTTGCATTGTCATATTCTGCCAAAACATGTCCATCTGTTATGGCTCTCAAAACTCAACACATATTTAAACCTCACTCCCACGTGGTGTTGCTGTTCTTTTAAATCTGTATTTGTCACATTTGGCTTTTATTTATGTTTTTTCCCTGTCAAAACCCCTAAGCTGGGAAGAGTAAGTTCAAGGTCACATTCGCATTAAAATACGTTTTTTTAATTCTTTTTTTTCCCAAACACACAGAGGCCTGTACATTTTGGCCATGAGAGGGCCATAGGTTCAGAATACAATAACAGTTCTCAGTGCCTGTGAATGATCCTGTCATTGCTGAAGTGCTGTTCAGGGTAAGGTAAACATTAAAGGTGTTGTGGAAAGGAAATGAAAAGGAAATGAGAAAATTTTGGTCTTTGCACTCAGTCGTGCCCTTTACCTTTTTTGTATCCATTTTTTCACCTGGGCAGCACTTAGTCGATCACGTGAAATTAAGGTAGAACCAAAGAACGAGAATAGGATCATTCTGAACAACATCCAAAGATAAAAATAGTTGTATGAAGGGATACATTTGTAGTGAATTATTACCATAATCTGGCTGCTCATTGTTTAACTGACTGTTTTGAAATGCTCTCACTAGCTCCTTAATGCCAAAAAGTAGTTACATTATATTATATAGTATAATATGTTACCAAACATATATTATATGATATTATTGTATTGGATACAATTATAACAACAATAAGCTTCAATTCACGTTTTATTTAAAAAGTCCTAGAACACATATTTGTCTTAAGGTACCTTATATTGTAAGGGCAACTGGCCTTTAATGTAAAAAAAAAAAAAAAAAAAGAAATAAAGAAAAAAAACAGATTATTTTAAGTCCTATAGAGTGTAAACAGTTAAGGATCCAGCACAGATCCGTGTGGTGCTCCATTATTTTGTATATTGTAAGGAACATGTTTTTTTTTTTTGTTTGTTTGTTTGTTTTAAGATGTTGGCGAGTCATTTTGTTTAACTTTCTAAATTTAAGATACCAGTTTGTGTCTATTGTACCAATGTGCTCTGGGTAGCTCAGTAGATATTGCATGAGACTTTTAATCTCAAAATTGTGGGTTTGAGTTCCATACTGGATGCAGGTTTGTTGCAAATTATAAATAAACAAAGTATATCTTATTTTAATTTTAAGCCGTGGTTTGTGTTTATGTACAGGGTGAAATTATGTACATGAAAATACATGGTGCGATTAATTTCTAATAGTCATTTCTGTCTCTTTGCAGGTTTTCACCTCAGTGGCACAGTAAGGGAACCCGCTACACCCTCTGAGCCAGAGCTAGTCTGCAATGTGAGCGTCAGCTTCGACCGCTGCAAAATCACAGCAGTGACATGCAGCTGCGGCAACAAGGACATTTTTTACTGTGCCCACGTTGTGGCACTCTCACTGTATCGAGTACGGAAGCCAGAGCAGGTCAAACTGCGCCTGCCCATCTCAGAGACTCTATTCCAAATGAACAGAGATCAACTGCAGAAGTTTGTTCAGTACCTAATCACAGTGCATCACACAGATGTGCTGCCGACAGCACAGAAGCTGGCAGATGAAATACTGTCACAGAACTCAGAGATCAACCAGGTCCACGGTGAGTGGAGCCACTGCTTTAAGGGTGGTTTGTGATTTTAGACAAAGACCAGGCTGTCCATAAACACAGAAACAGACACAAATAAATCCAGGTACCTGGATTAGATTAGATTTTCTTCATCTTCCATCAGTGGATTTCCAGTTGTCATCTCCATATGTACTGTGTATGTAAGTGCACCTGTACTACAGCATACAAGAAGAATACTTTGTGTGTATTTGTGATACATTGTGACACATAAGTCCCCATTTCATATATATTTGAGCAAACGTCTGCCTGGATACATTATCTTATGCTAAAAAGCATCTCTTGTATATGTAGCTTTAGTATCTTAAAATTAAACTGAAAATTACCTTCTTGAACAAATTATCTGCCTGAAAATGTACTTGTGTGTTTCTGAATTACTTTAGTATTAATGGTCTTATGTAGATTGTTGTACTAAATAGAACAAATTTAAAGTAGTGCTGCAGCTAACTATGATTTAATTTTGCTCCTGAAACTGTTGCCCGTATTGATGAATCATTTTACCCTTAAAATGTCAGAACATTGTGAAATTGTCCATTTTAACTTTCTGAATCCCAGGTTGAAGTATTTTACAATACAATATATGAATGCTTAAATTATGATTTAAATAACTGGTTATCAGAATAAGAGGATGACTAAGTGTGTACATATAGTGGAACATATTTAGCATAAACCTTATGGATTATATATTCCCTGGAGTTGGGTGTTAAGCGTTAGAAATGAAGGATGCACTCTTTGCTCATGTAGAATGCTTATTGTTGCAGATTTTGCAGTATTTTCACTATTGATCAGCATTTAAGCTTGCACAGCACTAATGCTTTAATGCAAAAGGTAAACTAGTAGATATGCTGATGGTGGCATATTCATTTTGTGCTCTTCCCTGAAAAGACACTTGTTTGGAAATCAGCGCAAGTTGTTTAATCATTGTTTAAAAATAATAAGACCATATGCATTAATGGACATACAAATATATAAGTACTTGTGCTTTTGATGCTTTCAAATTACATACTCTTTTGCACTGCATCAAATCAGTTTTTTTATGAGGACATCTAGTTGTTGTTAAGAGTTACTGACTTATTCATTTTCATTCACTGCAGGAGCTCCTGATCCGACAGCGGGGGCAAGTGTAGATGACGAGAACTGTTGGCATCTGGATGAGGAGCAAGTCCAGGAACAGGTCAAGCTCTTTCTCTCCCAGGGCGGGTACCATGGCTCAGGAAAGCAGCTCAACTTACTGTTCAGCAAGGTACTGACCCACTAATCACATCATGTCATATGTACGGCGATTTTGTTGATTTTATGTATATTTATTCTGATACTCTACAAGCTATTTGCACTGATGGTCAAAACACCTTCCAAATTTAATACCTTAAGGCAGGGGTGGGCAATTCCAGGCCCCGAGGGCCGGTGTTCTGCAGGTTTTAGATCTCACCTTGGGTCAACACACCTGAATCACATGATTAGTTCGTTACCAGGCCTCTGGAGAACTGCAGGAGCTAATTTAGCCATTTAAATCAGCTGTGTTGGTTCAAGGACACATCTAAAACCTACAGGGACACCAGCCCTCGAGGCCTGGAGTTGGCCACCCCTGCCTTAAGGGGTACCAGAATGATCCATGCTTGGTCTTTTATCATTTACATTAAAAGTGTTTTATTTCTTTGGTGAAATTAAAATAATCCACAACTGTCACCTTGATTTTGATCCTATTATCTGATTAAATAAAAGTGATATATACCGTTTACTCACAGTGACGTTGTCTCTGCAGGTGAGAGAGATGCTGAAGATGAGGGACTCCAATGGAGCTCGCATGTTAACACTGATCACAGAGCAGTTCATGGGTGACCCTAGATTGGCGCTGTGGAGGCAACAGGGGACGGCCATGACTGACAAGTACAGGCAGCTGTGGGACGAACTAGGTACAGTGATAACAGGCACACAAACAGAATTTCAACCAATTTGTGGCAGCTTTAGTGTGTGAGTGGCTACAGTGCAGTTCAACCAGCTGTCTTTTTCTTATGATACTCTTAACCCTTAGATGTCCTATTGTTTATTACCATTTATTACAGAAATACATTTTGAAATTCTGAGATTCAAAATCTTGCAAGATAAAGAATGTGAAATCCTTTGTATTCATCCACCGCTAGTTTTTATACGTTTATGTGAGCAATAAGCTTATTTACTGGTTTATTCTTAATGAATTAAAAAAAATTAACAAACATACAGGAAATCCTCAAATCGCAGTAGAAACCATAAAATATAAATATGTATTCAATATCTAAATGTCTAAAGCTAAGCCAGTGTTTACCTGCCTGAAACCTGATTTTTTTTTTCCTGTTCTCTAGCAGGGGGAAACTCCACTGTTTGCAAAAATAACTAGCTATGTAGAGTCTATAGAAAAATAACTCTTTGTCTCCCCTACTCTATGACCTTAGTAAACACTTTTCTGATAAGTTTATTATCTCAATCAGTAGTTTTACGTCTTATTGAATACAGTGTCATATGAATTTTGTAAATTATGCTCCCGGATAAAAAAAAAGTGACATCCTGTTTTTAAAAAACCAAACAAACAAAAATACAAAAAACAAATCAAATCAAGACTGATGTGATGGTCCATTTGAGGCCTCATAACAGGAGTTTGCTAATAGGTGACATCAGGATTCGCCCATCTTTTATATACAGTCTGTGGCTGTTTCTAATCGCTTGTCGCAGATGGTGACTGTTCCTTTTGCAGAAACAGACCAAAAACTAAACAAAACCAGCCAGACCCCAAGTGTAAAGCTGACATGTTTGCTTGTGATCAAAGATAACTCAGATTTCCCTTAAAAACAAACTCAAAATCCTGTTTTCATGAACATTTAAGTTCTTTTTATAAAAATTCTAATATTAAATCTTAAATTGTAAATATTAATGTTTTACTTATTTCCCCATCTCCTGTTTTCTTTCCTTCCCCTGTGTGTTGCTGTTGAAGATTCTTTCTCTGCATTTCGTCACTCACGTGTGACGTCGCCCTGCTGTTTTCCCTCCTCCGTGTTGTCCTTGGTGCACCCCTAACAAAGAGACAGAGGATAAAGCCTGTCTCCTCCTTCCCCTTCCCCCTCATTGTGAGCCTCCCTCCCTCCCTCCTGTATTCACTTCATCCCTCCTCTCACCACTTGTCTTCTCTTTTTTTTGGACATCTTTTTTCCTTCAGTTTCGTTTTGCCCTAACATATTCATTATTCCCTTCATCCTTCTTCAGCCTCTTTGATTGTGTGTATGTGTGTGTTATTTTTTTCACTACTGTCTTCATGGTTTTAGGCAACAGTGCAATTAATCTCCCAATTGTTTATGGAGCTGCAACAATTAGTTGAGTAATACAGCATCAGGAATTGAATTGGCATAATCACTTACTGATTTTAGTCTTTTCCTTTTGTGGTGATTTTGTCACACAAAACAGAACATCATATATTAGCAGCACATGCTTGGACTGTTCAGAACGAATTGGCACTTTCTCGAATTTGGTTACAACAACAATATGAATATTTCCTTCCGCTTGGCATCTTTCTTGGCCTTAAGACAACAATTCTGATGGCTAAAGATCCAAACGGGACACACAAAAAAAAAAAAAAAAAAAAAAAAAAAA